ACGAATATTTTTCTCAATTCCCTAGCTACAATCCCTAATCAGTCATGACAAAGTAGACAAAGACATGGGAGGTGGTGCCAAAGTTTTGAGGCCGCTACGATCACAGTCACAAAATTGGTTGAAATGTAGCAACTATAACTATAATGCATGCTAGAACTAGATATAACCCAGTACATGTAAATTTTTTATATATACACAAACGTTGAAAAGACTATGGTGATTTTAAATATATTCTATTTTCCTAATTCACATTCAAAATACCGGAAACAGAATAATGACTTGCTAAGAAGTATAAAATAATAAATGTAGAAGGTAGAAATCCGACCCAAAAAGTTTAACTCTTTTTTCTTAAAATGAGATTACCCCACATTGGTGCTTACTATTTTCAGTACGCGTGTCCCTATTTACAACGACCAACTTCTCACAATAGTAATATTATAAATCCAGAGAACGACGAATCTAATGATGTAATGGGGTCGAGAGGCATGTGATTAAAAAAACTTGCCGATTAATTCGAAACAGTTTATTCATAATTCAAGTCTCTCAATCCATTAGGGCCTGCTTTGGAGTTTTCATTTCTTCGATTTTGATCAATTTTGGATTATACTGTTAGTGAAGGGTTGAGAAAATTGGTGCTTACTAGTTTTTTTAAACACCGATTTTAGATAGTTCAAAAATCATCAAAAAATGGTGTAGTGTAATTTTGACAATTTCTGTTACGGACTAAACCACTTATTCAAAAGAAATACCCATTTCAACATGGAATTTAAGTCCATGTTTGGTACATATTCTTTCAAATTCATTTTTTTCCGAACTCATTTTTAATTATATATTCTCTCAATAAAATAATTTTGTATTTAGACATAAATTTTTCTATTTTTAATCCTTCATTCTTCAAAATATCACTTTTCACACCACAGTTCAGTAAGATCCACATAACCCCTATTATTTGTATGTCCACTTAAATGCTACTGGGTCCATTGTATTTTCTTGTTTGATCTTCTCACCTACCCCATTAAATCAATTTGGCCCAAATCTAAGAAAATCTCAGCATCTTCATCAATCTCCGTGTCAAAGATAAGAGCCCAATTTTAATCATAGTTTGAAACCACATCAATTTTTACGACAAAAATAGCTTTTTACGACATTCATTTACGGCGTGCATATCAATTATACAATAAAAAGAGATTTGAATTATTTACAGCATACATTTTTGCTAGCCATAAAAGCTGAATATTTACGACGTACTTCTCAAGCATACCACATAGATTAATAAAAAAATATTTGTGATTTTTAAATTTAAAAGAATTTATTTATGGCGTACGTTAATGTGTGTCATAATTTTTATTATTTTTTGTTTTAAAAAATGTATGATTAAAAAGGGGTTTCACGACATGCATTTGTACACTCCTTAAAAAATACTAGTTAAGAAAATGAGAGTTTTTACAGTATACATATTGGCATGCAATAAAAAATGCCCACTTTTATTTTTCTCTTCTCCCACATTTTCTTTTCTTTTCCTTTCCTTTTCTCTTCCTTTTCCATCTATTTTTCTACTTCACGTTTTCTTTCCATTTTCTTTGCTTCTCTTTTCTCCTTTGCGCCAAACCCTTGTCTTGTCCTTTCAGCCTACCATGTCCGCCCAAACCCTTTTCCCGTTCCCCCTTTCCAAATTTCTTAAAATTTATCAAATTCACCTATCCCCTATTCAAGTCGCGATCGTCGCCGCCGTCGCTCTACTCCTCTCCAAACCTAGTGTTGACACACTAAAAATACAGCCCAAATTGGATAGCCCAAAGAGTGAAGCCCAATTGGAGGCCCAGGACAAAGGCCGAAATGAAGTTGTTGGTAAGTGCAGAAGGGGCCCACGAACACAGTAACATC